ATACTCTCCTACTTGTACGACACAATGTTACCAGAAGGTCAGAGGGAACGCCTGCGCGAAATGCAAGAGGAAGTGAAGCATCTTACCGTGAGGCATCGCTACCGAGCGAAATGGCGTTTACACGAATCTGAGAAAAGGCTTAATCGATATGAAGCGGCTGTGCAAGAAAAACTATTGCCCCTTATGGAGGTGCTCGATCTCTGTGATGAAAGTTCGAAAACAGCGCTTGCAAACGGAAATAAAACGAATAACGGCTCCGCATCAGCATCTGAGGCGACGAGAACAAAAGTGGGTGTCGGAAAGTCAGACGAAGCGGATGCGGTCGAACAAATTACGCTGCATAACCCAGTAATTGCGCAGATCTCGAAGGTGCAATTTGCGGCTGGAAAATGGGCGCATTTGGTAATGGAACTACCCGCGCATACATATGCCTGTATCTTAGTTATTTATCTGTTTGCTTTATAGGTCATCGTCTGCACAGAAAGACGTGTTCTGATATACAATTTACTTACGCTACGATTACATGCTGCATGCAAGCTGTCCGTCGAGCATTTGGCATTCGATCCCATAAGCAATTTAGTGGCTGTCTTCACCAAGTATAATGAATGTAATACAAAAAGAAGTTATTTTATTGCATTTATTTAAATATTGATATATATCGAAAAATAAATATTTTTATTACGCTTCATAGTGTACGTATTCCAGCCAAATGTACCGCTGTCCATTTATCGACGTCGCGATATGCCACCCTTGCTGGGCGCCGCGTGGCTGCCCCGACGACATCCCAAAAACCGTTCGTTGAATGTTGACTGGCAGGCGGTATCTACGTTGTACTTTTTAACAGATCAGCAGGTGAATATTATTAATTATGAAAACAATAATCCAATTGCAATTCATACTTATTCAAAAACCTTGATTTTTAGGAAATCTACTACTTGGGTGTGCCAGATAGTGCGGACGATGATGCGCCGCCCCCAATTACCTTCAGCAGTTCGGCTAATCAAGCAATGCAGTATAGTACCTTCGGCACCTTTGCCACCCAACAGCACTCAGATATGAAAAGCAGCACACGGCAGTCGATTGGACCGCTGGTTATCGGTAATTCGTACGAAATGGCTGTGAAATCGGTGAGTGAATGCTTTATTTTTTTGCTAAAGTTAAGGCTCGATGAAGGTTATTTTTATATTTAGATTATGGTTGACTTTATAAGTTCGATATTTTAAAATATTTAGGCCCATTCGTCGCTCGAATCGAAAAGGTTGAGTAGTATATTTTAAATATTGAGGCGTATTTCTTTTTGTTTTGATTTACTCTAATCGGAAATCCGTGTTTGTGATTCGGCAACTGTAGTAGGTTAAACTCCTGTCTACCGAGACTAGACCCGACGAACAGACTAGACCCCGATGTGAAAACATGCATGTTTTTGTTTTTGTAACAGCAAACATTTTTTCCTTAGATTTTTAGGTAATCAGCTGGATCGACAACCTTTGGCCAAATATAGATCTGGGTAGTTCCGATTATGTAAACCCGACTGCCATGTTTCTGCAAAGAGTTGTTGAGGAATATTGTTAGATATATTACGTTTATAAGTTTACTTTCATATTCATATGGCAAGTGTGAACCACATATTACACTTCTATATGATATTTTGATTACAAAGGTGGCAACACATCTCTATTATTAAGTGTCATCTCTATGTTGTAATTTCTGGATTCTTCCCTTTTTATATCCGATCGTTGCCCGAGTAACCTGTATATCTATACCATATTAATATTAAATAAAACAGTACTAAATAACTCAAAAGGAGTTTAAAATAGTATTTATATTCATAAATATAAATATGCCCCAATGTCTGTACAAGAACGACTTCTCAGTAATTCCTGTAAACTGGAACAGACTAAAGAGAGCAATTAGTGGTATCTGTCTTTGAAAATGTCACATAGCTAAAACTCAAAATTGTCCAGACTTCGCTCCCATGCCCTGTCATGCGCTGCGTATGATAATCGCTTGTATGCAAAGCTCATTAAACAGATTCGATATGTGGCAGTACTCAGGCTATGCGCTGCAGCACAATGCACGTATAGCCAGCGCTTAAAGCATCTATGACGCATTGTTTACTTTGTTTCTTTATATCCGAAAAGTTTCTTAAGAGTTGCTATATTAGGAGCGTTCCTTATCTCCCAGAAATAGTCAGAAAAAGTCCGAAGTAGTCAGATTTAGTCCAAAAAGCGTTCCTTAACTCGGAAATGACAGCAAAAATGAGAGAGCAACATTCAGAGAGAGTGACTCTCATTAGTCCGAAGTAGTCAGATTTAGTCAGAAGAATTTTTTCTGGCAAAATCCTGAAAAGTGTCAAACTCAACTGAATTTAAATTAACGGAAATTAAGGAATACGAAAAAGTGAGAATAATCTAAAAAGTAAAAGAAATGAATTGAAATTGGAAGGAGGCAAAAAATTATTGATATAGTAAGTGTTTATTGTGCTTGTGCTTGTGGGAATGTGTTTTGAACATACAGTTCTGTTCTTATTTGACGTTAGTTTTGTTGTTGCCATTCTTTGTACTAAAAATTTGGTTTTTTGCGTTCCTTTACTTTTCCTGTTATTCTCTTTTAGTGAGCGCATTTTGCTTACGCTCTGGCATTTTGACACTTTTCAGATTTTAGTCCAAAAAGATAAGGAATGAACCTATTATTTGCAAATGTACAATCTTGAGGTTTAAGAGCTAAAATAGAATTCGCATAACTTTGATAGATCCTCTGCTTGCATTGCGAAAATCGGCTAATAGCGTTCATAATAAGACCCAAACGTTTTATTGTTGTCTGGGTCATATTCAAAATTTACCATAAAATCGGCAAGCAATTAACCTTAAATGCTGTTGCATCTTGAGTAAGAATGGCTTGATCTGCAATCTGTGCGGGTTGACTTTGAATAATACAGATTCTGCGGTTGTTGCATCAAATTCTTTTATTCTTGGTGTTGTTTCAAAGTCTGTTGATTTTGCACTTGCAATGCTGCCAACAATGCCTTGAATTATGAGTGATCCATTTTGCTGAGTTCTAAATTATTCTCGTCGCCAATGTAGTAAAACGTAACTATTTAATAAATAACGCAGATTTGCAAAGATAAATGTTTATTCAATTGTAAAAGAAATAAAAGGATTTTTTTTCAATCAGAATAATAATTTGACGAAAAGTGCAATGTTTTTTAGGAATTTAGAATCCATCGCAAGTAAATAATCAACCTTCGAACACAACATTAATCATAGTACATACATACATACTTACGTAGATACTACCATAGTTTATAGAAAATATTGAACACTTAAATTTGTTTTATTTCATCTTTATTAAAGCTTAAAAAAGAAATACAAAAAGTGGTCATAAAAAAGTAAAAATAACATTTATCTACATACATACGAATGTTTGAAGTACATTAGGCATTGGCTTATGTTTTACGTGTACATATAAAAGTATGTGCATACCTGTGCACATAAATATTAATTTTTTATTTTAGATTTTATTAATGGTTTTTTAAATTTTAAATTTATTAGCATTAAGCGCTGCTACATATATACCCACATGTAAATTGTCATAAAATGAAGGACTGCACACACACATACATACATATATGTATGTATATGCATATAGAAATTTCTCTAAGCTAATGTTCTTGAAATTTTACAAATAAGATTTTTACTTTTTTTCCTCGTATTTGCTAAGAATTATCGCTTTCACATTGATATACATATGGGGTATTCCATCGTCACGGGTGGGACATTTGTACAGCAAAAATAG